TATATATATATATATATATATATATATCAATTAATGAAAGTCTTCTATGTTTTGATAATTTGTATATAACTTTCATGGGTTTTGGAAATTTACAGGTGTCAGTATGATAAACTCTGCTTTCATGTAACTTGCTTCACTACTGAATTGTGTTTAAAATTTCCTCTTAACTTCACTTTAATGCAAACTGTTTTTGTTGTCCCAACTTATATAAACTGTAAACTGTGATTTGAGTTGACTGTAGGCAATGATCAAAAACAATTGGTTGGCACAATCAAAGTTCAGCTGAGACTTCTTCTGAACTAAGTTGCTTAATTCTAGTTGAAATTCTGCCACCATCTGGTCAAATCTAGTAATTTCCCTCAGTTTGATTGCAGTCTCAGAGTCACTTTGCCAACTTAACTTAAAAATATTTTGAGAAAAGTAATCATTATGCCTGGAGATAAAATAGACTTGGTGCAAATTAATTCAAGGGAGTTTAAACATATTAGGATGATTAAACATATACAAGAAATTCTGTCTTTCAAAATTTCAGTGTAAGAATTCATTAAAGTTCAGTAGCAGAATACTGTACTAAAATATAATAAATTAATTTTTTATTTTCTAAATGAGACTATTATTATCATTTCTTATTTTATTTTAGGTACCAGTAAATGTACTTCTCCTAGTGAAGCAGAAAAAATGGTGTCCAATTTGCTAGCTATATTGGCTGTTATAAATGCTGTGGAAGTCATAATGAGTATTGGCATGATTTGGGGTGCCAGTAAAGTAAGATCCTTGAAAAACTTCAAATTATTAGTATATTGTGACTATAACTAGAGCATCATTTTCTTTTTTCTCTTTCTCTTTCCCCATCATTAATATTACATACAATTTTCTTGTATATGAAGTGCTTTTCTTGTGTCATACTTTGTTTTTTAATTCAACGAAGTCAATACAAAAGCTGGAGACTGATAACCCAAAAGTTCTCATTTCAAATTCAGATTCTAATTACTTCCACTGCTCTTAAAACTCCTAACTTTCATAGTAGTTATTATGAATCTAAAAACCAAGAAAATTTGATTTAATTTTGATTTCCAGAATTAAAAAATATGACCACAAGTCTATCATTCTTACATTCGTATATTGCTCCCATTGTTATATTTTGATGGAAAAAAAAATGTTTCTATAAGGAAACGTTCGATATTGTTTACAGAGAATCCTACCCTGGGTGACTGGATGGCTTCTTGTTTCAGCATCTTGGATGTTGCTTCATAGTACCATAGCTCTATCATTTCTATTTGCTTCCTCTGACCCAGGAGTTGTTGTTTTGGTATCAGTACTGGGAATAATCATTTTAGGTAAGTCTTCCTTCTTCCAAAGCTCTAAAGCCTAATGTGGGCCAAGACTGCCTTTAGGATCTGCCTCCATTCCTCTCTTCTCACAGCCTACTCCCACAAACCAATAACTTTCATCTTCAGGTTATTTTGGGTAGGTATCTGGTTTAAAATATGAAATGGTTTACATGAATGGAATAACATATTGTATACTTCTTATATTAAATTGCTATTTATTTGCTTTAAAAATTTAACCAATTATGGTTTGTCAAGAAAATGTACAGATGTATCCATATTTTTAAATTAGTGGCTCCCTGATAAGGTTAATCATCAATAATGTTTATTGTCCAGTCACTTCCTTTAGATTGAAAGGTATTATATCAAATGGGGATTTTGGGACTTTCTCATTTTCATAGCTTTTTCTAAACAATTGATTTTGTTTTTTTCCAAGAAAAATTGAAAACATTTAGAATCGTGTCTTATAAATTTCAGTTTATTTCTTTAAATCAAAAGTAATACTTCTTTAAAGATGCCTGGTTTCCGTATTAGAAAACTGGTTGTATATTATTGTATATGTTTATATTATAATTTATATAAGCAATTGCATGCAATCAATATCACTCGGTACTCCGGAAACTAAAGCCGGCAAGAACCTTTATGAATTAAATAATATTTTGTAATGTGGTGCATCTCTAAAAGCAAACAAAAACTGTTACAGGTATGGCTATTCTGGCATTCCTAACAATCCTGAGTTTACGGAATGAGATGACTAATGCTGTACTGTTCTCAACTATAAATGATTCACCTACAGCTCTGCTATCTCATATTTAGAGGGTCAGATAATTATTAGGTAGAACTGCTGACTCCTGATGACAATAAAATTTGGTGTGCAATCTCTATATTTTTATCATAATTTTTTCTTGTATGTTTCATTAATCTCTTTCTATAAGTAATGTATTGCATTCTGAGGGAAAGAGAAAGATCAAAAGTTTCATTTTCATTAGTTGCTTTGTCTTGATGTCTGAAAGACATCTTAAATAATATTTGTGGTATCATTTAATTATACATGAATATTCATCAGAAAGAATAAATAAATCTGCAATTGTGATTTCTAATGAATTATTTATTTGTATTTCCTGAAAAAAAATGACATCTTTGCTTTTATAAATGTTCTTCAAATTAAAGAAAATTTACAAGTTTTGCTTTGCTAACAAAATCCTTACACTTTCGGTTTCTAGAGAAAATGTCAAATCTTTCAAGTCATTGTGCACAATGTAATAGTGAACATCTGAAAACAGATATTTGTTCATTTTATTAATTTTATGATAATAATAAAATTTTGTGTTTATACCACAAAACCAATAAATAAGAGCAAGCAATGAAACACCTGGGGCCCATTACCTTTCATTTAAAGAAAAAATCACTAATTTGTTTGATTAGAACGCTCAAAAATCTTGTCTAAACGAGAACCTTTATTATTTGAAATATAAAGATTTTTGTAATTTTCTAAATGTCAGAGGTTTTAATGAATATCAACACAATCTTTATACTTGTAAATGTACTTTCTTCTATACAAGAAAAAATGTTCAGCCATTTTCCAGAAAATTTTGAAAATGTTTTAAGGCTGCATGTTAACAAACCTCCAAAAATTAAAGTATCTTAATGATCTCCAGAAAGCCACTACTAGATCGTACTCCTGACATATATAACACAGCTCAAAAGGTTGTAATCTGTGTGTGTGACACATCGAGACATCCCAGGTATAAAATTGTGTGTGACCTCTCCTCCACCAATCTTGACTATCTTTGAAGCAGTGCTAATAGACCTTAAACATGACTTGTGTGCTGAGTTACAGCAGAAAAGAACCCCAACACTTTTGATCCTAAGGACGTATCTGATACTTATTTTTGTTTTACTGCGGTATCCTACATATATGTGTCATAAGTTCTTCTGTATTTATTGTCATCAATAGACTAAAATACCTCTCAGACATTTGTAAGCACCTAGAATACGCTTTTGAATATCATTAAGATGGTTGCAGGCATTGTTGAATACGTTCAGAATGTCCTTCTTCGTGAGTAATTTTCATGCTGTTAGGGATATAAACAACTGTTTAGAAGACATATAGGTCAAATTCAAAGCGACTCTCAACTTCAGAAATTCAAGAGTTTTTTTGAATAATGGAATAAAACTGGATTCTTTTGATGAGGACAATAATTTTAGTTCTGGACTGTTTAGTTTGTGCTATGAAAATTATATTGAGGAGAGTAATAATGATGCAAATTATTCTATTGGGGAATATTCTCAAATTCAAGAGATTTATTTTCCTTTAGAATGCTGTGAAATTGATATACAAACTGAATTACCAGTTTTTGAGAAAAGCAGTGAAATAAAATTTTCTGTAAGTAAAGACCCAACTGAATTAGACTATTTTGCATCATTTTTTAGCACAGTACATTTCAGAAAATAAAGGCAGAAATAAATAGACATGTAAATGAAACTATATCTGAAATTCAACAAAATATAATTATGTTGTACCAGTATTGTTGTCTTATGAGGTTCACTGCAGTTCTCTCCATATTTTGTAACATTGTTACTTTCCACAAAAATATGAAATTGACCACACGTGTTTCTTTGAATTTCATTCTCACTACCATCTTGCAATCAAATGATCATAAAATACACACAGGCTTGAAGTGAAAAGACAATACTACAAGATTTTATCAATTTCAAACTGATGTGTACGATGGTTTTTATTTAAAAACATTTTGAATAATGCTATATTGCCCAACACACAGTAGTTAATGCAATGGCATATCCCTCAGGATCGAATATCTTATAACCAGAAATCCACGATCAAATTTTTGAGGTGATTCCAATAGGGGCCGTCCATAAATTAGGTACAGCTAATTTTGAATATCCCCTCTCCCTCCTTTACAAGATGTAAAAATAAATTATATTACAGTAAAAATTATTTGTGTTATTTTTATAGGCATGAAAAGGTTTGACAATAAAGACGTTCACTCGCCCTCGTATTTGTCACTTGCGGAGAGCTTATTATACCAATTTAATTGGATTCTAGAACATAGGTATGGTTTAAATTATTATCTACGAAATCTTAGTGATTTACTCAAAAAATTAATGAAAAATAGTTCCATTTATTGTAATATCTTACAAAAAATAACTATTTAATTTTCAAAAAATAATTAGTTAATATTTTAATATTTAATATAAGACTTAAAAAAAATTATTTTAGCCAATGTTAAAATAATAGTAGTACATAACAATAAGGTAATGCCCCCTACCCCTATGTAATGCAGAATAATGCCTCCAACCTCCTCCCCTTGTGTTTGGCATTACATAGTTTATGGACGACCCCAAACTATTTGTTCCTATATTCGAGTATGCAGAGAAAATAGTAAAAATGGATGAATGTGTATGTTCCAGATTTCAACACTGAACAAATTCATGTCAAATCTTGGTACATGTCATTTCTATAATGGGAAAATCAATACTCTGGATGTAAGATTGTGTTTGAAGTCAAAGATCAGGGTGGGAAGATTGCGAAATTTGCAAGCAAAATTTTCATGCAATGCACAATGCACATATGTAAAATGTGAACTGAATGAGCACTGCAAGCAAGATATACAAGGATTTTTTAATAAATAATTGTGATAAATAAATTCCTGGGCAATCTCATGTATTCAGCTAGTCACCCAATAAAGCATAAATTAATTGTGAATACATACTTCACCTAAGTAGTATGTACAAAGTGTTAATCTAGCTAATTCAAGATTAACAGCTGATTGTTTATATCATCCAAAATGGGTGGATAAAGTCCTAAGAAAACAAGCACATTTCAGAATTTGGCTAGATGAATCTCATATTAGCCAACACGAGGTGGATAGGGTTTCTGTACATTGTGGTGGCATGGAATATATATACTACATAATACAGTATAACCTGTCTAAGGCGGACCCTCTGTAAAGATAGAAATCTGCTAGCCCGGACAAAATAACTCAAAACGTAGCGATTTTATAGGTGAAAATGACCTTTACAAGCTAGAAACCTGTCTAACATGGAAATGAAATAGTTTTTAGAGAATGTAAATAGATTGTTACATTGCTAAGAAGGAAATTTATTTTTAAATTTCCAACACTATCTTTGGAATGGTGTAGGTCACATTACGAGAAAATTGAATGAATGATAGTTATTCCTCTTATACCTGCTGTTGGGCAATCTTTGGCATACACAGCAATTGTTTTGCTTGGATTTTCAAGGTAGTAATCAGTGCAACGTCATCGCTGTTGTTCCGATTCCTTAACATCAGCACCATGTTCAATTCTCAAAAGAGCCATGACATTTTTCTATTTATTTATTTCAAAATATACAGACTCAATTTTTATTTATCAATTATTCATTATCCATTATTTAACAATAAGATTACAAAGCAATGATAAACATTAGGTGAATGAATTTCCTGATAAAATTATTCATAAACAAATGTTCTATGTTTAGCTTGAATCTCAAACATATTCAATCCAATATGAAAAGCATCTAGAGAACAATCATTCATGAGTTTACACATCCTATTTATCAGGCAATTTTCTGTATATATTTGTGAATACATTTTATGAAAAAATATGCTGTTTTGTCTTGGTGACAGTAATGGAACCAAACTACAATTGATTTTAAAACATTGAGCAATCAATCATACCATTCAAAAGTTTAAATAAAAATAAGACATTATTTAAATTTCAAAGAGTTCTAGAGGAAAGAAACTAAGTTTCGCCGCTATATATCTATAATCATGATCAATAAATGAATTAGACAATCCAAGTCGTGAGGCAGCAATTCTATAAAACTTACGTTGAAAGGTTTCTAATTTGGCTATGTAGGATTGAAAAACAGGAGACCAGACTCCAGATAAGAACATGAATATTGGTCTCAATCATCAAATAAAGGGTATTCAAAGTATCAATTGAACTGAGACCTAAGCAGGTTCTTCTAATAAAACCAAGAATTTGATTTGTCTTATTAACAATGTTGTCGGATATGATTGACGAAAGGACATTTTGAATCAAAAATCTAGATAACATTAACATTCTCCAAACGGTACTAAGTTAATTGAATAACAGAATAATTTAAACAAAGATTGGATTGTGAAAACATGATAAATTTATGTTTACTGAGGTTTAATATACGAACGTTTGGAGCATACCAATTATTAAACTCATCAAGCACAATTTGTTAATAACATAACTATGATATGAGATAGATATAAAAATTTAGTAAAATTACCATTAGTTGGCAATGGAATTCCAGAAGACAGACTTCGCATCCTAGCGTAGGAGTCGTAGGGTTGACGAGGTGTGGACCACACAATTTAGTGACTGCTCATAGTATAATGTAAGAAAGCTGTGTGCTAGTGTGTCAAAATATCCTTGAAATGTACATGCAAAACCCTTTTGCTTCAAAAGAAAATGGATGAGAATGAAGAACATGGAAAGAACAAATGTTCTGCAAAAGACCTAGTTGCAATATTCAAAGTGAGTAAAACTTAAATTTATGGCACTATGAAATAAAGACAAATTCAAAACAAATGGTTAAAACGACAAATTTTTTGAACCATCAGGTTCTATTTTAGACATGTTTTATATCTATTACGTGTTAAACAGGAATCAGTCTGCTGGTGAGAAGGCTAATAGAAGAAAAGATGTGTGTTTTTGACTTCCACTGTGTCAGCTATAAATTTCTATTTACCAGCAGCATCCTGGCCATGGGTTAAGGGGGTATGTGTAAACTCCCCCTTAACCCTCCCCTAAGCTGTAATCTTGTGTTCTCAATCTGAGAAGTGAGTTTCCTCATCGACCCACAGCAACATATACTGGGACATTGCAAGGAAAATGCACACTAAAATCTTGCCCAACTGGGAGTTGATTCTGGGGATGCATTATGGAAAGCACACACCAATGAGCAAAACTGCAAGAGCTATTTACACAATACTAACAAACTTAATCTCACTGCTCCTCAGTTGATACTTTGCTACTCATTTTCATATCAGCAACAAAGCTCTGGTCTTCGACCTTTACACATGTGCATTTTCACTAATAATTCATAGTGTTTGGCATGCATATATTTCAGCATAGTATTCATTTTCTGTTTGATGATATTAATACGTAAGTAGAGAGGGATACTAAAGAGTAAAAAACAAAAATAAGATACTACAAAACAAAATAATGACGAACAGATTCTTAACTATTTCCAAACTTAAATCAGTGTGGGTGCGAAATCCACAACTGTGGAGTGCAAGTGGCTGAAGGTCTCCTGTGGGTGGCTGTCTGATATGGTGAAGCATAGGTTTTATCACTGATTTTGAAAATACTAGGTAGTGTAGATCGTCCAATGTCTGAATGTTAATGCTCACTACCACACATAGCAACGAAAAATATTTTGTATTCTTCAACAATATTTTCTGCTGTAGCTTCTGACTTTGCACTGATTATTGTAAACAAAACACACGCTTTCTGATAAGCTCTGTAGAATTTTTCCTTCCCTGAGTGAAGTATCACATCCACTAAAAGCACAAAGAAAATTGATAATTTCTTGGTGATATTTGAATGATTTTGGTGAATGAGAAATTTCCTTCCTTTCTAGAAATAAATGTATAAAAACAGGTTGCAAAATTAATACATCCATGATGATAAATCTTATCAGTTAGTAGTGGAATATTATTATTTACTAACAAGACTTTTTTGACAAATATTGTGGTGAGTAAATTGCTCCAATTTTTTCCTATTACTATTGATCAGCATTTTCACAACAATCTCATTTTCTGCAGAACTTGGCTTTTAAAACACTGTTCCCTCAATGGGGGTTATATATTATATCACCACACTTCATGTCAAAATAAGATACTTAAATATGGGCAATGGACAGGAGAAAAACTAACAAATCATCCAAAAGGTTATTACATGTGGAAAAACTTAAAATGATAAAGCTAAAAAACTAATTTTATAAAAGTAAAATTTATTCAAGCATTTACTAAGTGTATAAAAATGTTTCAACTTGTTTCAATATGCAGGAGAAGAACCAGATCCCAGTAATGTAGATGGTTGGCCAAGTCTCCCAACACATATCAAAAAGGTGGCAATATATCTGTGCTTTATGTTGGATTTAGATACTAAAGTAGTAGAAATGATAGGAAACAGGGAATCCCTCCAATAGTTATTACAGAGAGTGCCAGAAGAAATCTGGACTGAAGTTGAACTTTAAAAAGACCACTCTAATGACTACAGGTCAGGACTCCACAGTTGTTTTTCTCCTATGTCTTTGTATTTTTTTATATTATATTATATTTCTTAAAGGAAGTTTCAAGAATTATCACTAATGATCACTTGGTCCACATTTTTTAGGGGGCACTCTTATCTATGTGAAGTATAAAGGATGAAATGTATCTGCCAACACTTAATGGTCCACATCACTAAGAAATTTTTAAAATTGTGGGCCTCTTTTATTTTTTTTCCAATTAAGTAATATTCTATTAAGTTTGGTCTTTTGTCTTGTAATGTCATAGTCAGTCAATGCCTTTTATCCCATCGGCCAGAGGCTTACAATTCAGTTTACTACAGAATATTGATACCAACATACAATAAAATTGAAGAGTATGTTGTGATTCAGTTAACTTTACTGTTTACAAAAAAGGTAATTCATGGCTGAGAGTAATTCATGACAAAAGAGGAAATTCATGACTGACATGCCAGGGACTGGGTGCCGTTAGTAACAAGAATTTCAAGGCTGTCACCCAACTGGGAAACCAGTGTGTCTCAATTTACTTATCTTCCATGACTTCACACAGTGTAGTTGAGCAATTCAGCTAACAATAGAGTTTTGAGGTTAAGGCATCATTACTATGATAGATTTGGCTCATCTATAAGATGGTTTGTTCTGCAATGCTATTACCAATAGATACAAAATAATTCATTACTATAATTCATTATTTCTTCAATATTACCATTTTGAATGTATAAACAATATAATTCATTTTTTGAACATATAAAATTAAAACATATCCAATAATTTCCTGAAGCATAGCAGGGAGTGTACATTCTTTGTATCGAAACATTGTGAACTTACATAATTAACAATTTCCATTAAAGATTAATTAAAAGTGTTTTTCTAGAAATACTATGCTTGTTAGCATCCATAAGAGGAAAATGGAAGTGGTGAGAATTTGTGATATGGGATTCTTTATTGATAATTACAGCAATAAATAATAATTTATTAAATAAAATGTTACAAGAATGGTTACAATTAATTTTTCTTTCAGATTGTAATCAAAATTACCTTTAAAATGCATTCTACCCCTAATTAATGCTTATTTATCCCTTTCAATGTGGGGCCCTGGGTGAGTGTGGTAGCATTTCAAGGTGGATTAAGTGAATGGTCAGCAGCACCATTGGAACAGGCAGCAAGTGGAGTTTTTTCTATGAAGTATGCAGCGAGAGCAACTCAATTTAGGCTTGGGCTTCCCAACTCTGCAAATGTCTGCATTCCATTGCATGGAATCTTCAGAATAATAATATGGAAACTGAAGAAATAGGAAATAAAAATAACTGTATAACAAGTACCACATTCATGCGTCATGAACATCAATATTTAAGCAAAACAAAAGTTTGATAATCGTAAATATTAATTACACATTTTTATCTCTATTGTTTTATTTTTAAATAATGAAGTAATACGTGTGTTTGGCAGTCAAAGTAACGTAACATGCATCTTAGTGTGTAGAAAACAATATTTTCCAAATTATTAATTGCTTTAAACTGCAACCAAAAAGAAATTAAAACCAACACCAACAATATAAAACATTTTTATTGAAAGCTACACAGTAAAAAACCAAAATATCGCTTTAACACATTGCTAAGTGGAAACACAGTGGCCAACATCTGTAAATGGTACCGGAAATAAGATTAAAAGCTTTACTGTCTTGAGATGACTTGTGCAAAAGGCAAGGAAAATTCAATCCATCCAGGCACGGCATTACCATGAACAGTAGTGAAAGAGAATTTCCCTCTGGAGATGGTATATCATGCTCAAGGGTTAATGTGCAGATGCGCTCCCTGTATTTTTTACTGAGGAGGTACAGGTTGCATATGTCAGCTGACCTGATGTTTGTTTATAAAGATTTTTTTTATTTTTACTAAATATAAAATGTGTTTTTATTTGTTCACTTAGAATTAATATTTATAATGTTAACAAATTATATATTGATTAGAATAAGTATTACTACCTAATTAATTTTATTACTATAACAAGTGCAAGACAGGTGGACAAACTTCTCAATGTATTTCAATGTCTTTGCATTCAAAATCACCAAAACTAATTTCAGTCTCAAGTGATATTAATCGATACTGAAATTACTTTATAATCCCAGAATTCACTAAAAATATGTAATTGGCCCAACCTCCCACATCAAGAGTAATAATTGAACAAATCTTTTCAGTTGTCTAGAAACACATGTGAGATTCTTTTATTATGTGATTATTAATTATATTTCTTTTTTCAGGAACAACCCTTCTGTTTATGCTCACTGTGACAAGTTTTCATCAAGAGATGTCAAAGACATTGCTTGATCCAAATCCGCTTGCACTAGCATCAGCACCCTCAATATCTGTTGAAGAATTTCCCCCAGCTTATGAAAACATCCTAAGCAAGAAATGAAATGCTGCCAGTTTATAAAATTTGAAATGTATGAATATTATAATATAATTTGAAGAAATTGAAAGATGAGCAAGTGCAGCAACATATTTAGTATTGCAAGTATTGTTTATTTTCACACATAATTTATATAAATTTATAGTTATGAATATACGTTTTCTTAATTATTTATTAATTTCTGTTTTGCCTAATTCAATATGGTTTGTAATTATACAGTTATTTCACCACATTTAAAAAGTAAATTAACACTACAAATACATATATTCTACTATATTTATTCAACATATTGAATTTCAATGAAGGAATTATTAATTCTGAAATAGACCTAGAGTGGCAATCTGTATTGTAAACATTTAATTGTAATATTTTTTAAATAAATTGTGTTCAATGTCCTATGAATGAGAAAAATGTGTATAAATGTGTAAATGTGAATAAACCTGTAAAAATAGATCACGCAATTATTAAAAGTTCATCTGTAGGGGCAAAATTCCAACTAATGTATCAACTGTGCAATGCACTTTTTTTTAGAATCATAACTTGTTCTTATTATAAAGAACAATTAGAAACCAATCTTTGGTAATGTCCTGTAAGTATGGTATCATACGACCAACAGAAAATTAAGGTGTTTCCTTAGTATTGTCTCTCATATCCTCCATCCTCTTCTCATTTTCTAACTCCAATATGACTCTCTTGCTAAGGATTTTGGTGGTTTAAACTTCTGTGTGCCTTTAGCTTGCTTTCCATTATTTGAAATTTATTAAACAGATTGAACAATGTATAAACCTACTGTGATGAGTCCAGATATCCTCTCCATTTTATTATTATAAACATTTTATTATATGCATCCACGGGGGTGAAGTTAATGCTTACAGGTTACCAGAGCAACAGGAAAGTTCACAGTGTGGCGACTATTACTGGAAAGGGAAACGTGGAAGGGGGTAGCATGAAATTATATTTGGTAAGGCACCCATCCAAGGTGAAGTACACAGAAGTTTTGTTAGAAAGTTACAAACCAGGATAAATAGCAGTTGTCATTTTTTTAAAATTGGAATTACATCAACTGACATCTTTTTCAAGGAGATGGAATGAGGTAATGAGAAGTCATGTCACGTTTATTCTATTGAACGTGACACTGGGAAGTAGGAATAGTTGACAAGGCCACAAGAAATATGCATATCTGGCTTAGAATTGTTGAACTATATTACCAGCCATGTAAAGCTAGCAGCGCCCAAAAAACAAATCTATTCTCTTTGTACAACAATGATTTTTGGAAATATGGGCTGAATCAATTTTTATCCTACAGCCTAAAATTAGCTTTTAATTTTGGATGTATTTTAATTGTCTTGCAATGATGGAAAGTTGTATTTTCAATGTGGGTGCTTCTAGCTTTAGACTATATCTAACAGAGCCTACAATTTTGCGACATCCAAAAGAACCTAAAATTCAGGAATATACATTGGAAACCATAGAGCTATGTTGTAGATAAAAATGATCCAGGATTATAATTTTTTTCTTAATTAACATTTTAATTTCCATCCACTTTTATTCTATCTTCTTCATTTAATGTAATACATTTTGAACCATATAATTTGATATTGAACTATATAATATTTACTAAAAAATATAAAAATCTCTATGTATTGAGAAGTTATTTTTAAAACCAATATTTTAAATGTGGGCTTTGAAAAAATAGGGTTTAAAGGGATTATTGAGTATGTAATGGATTTCTTCTGTGCAGAAATAAAGGTTTTTCTTCATAATTCAAAAACAAATCCAGTCAAAATTTTTCCACACTCAATTTTGTAATTTGTTTTTTGAAAATGAATTTTTGGAATTAAATAGCTGTATCAACATCTTGAAATAAGTCACCATATTTTATGGCACAGTAATTAATTTATTAATGAACAAAATAATTTGATGTTTTCCTAAACTTCTCAGAATTAAAATGGTTTTGAAATTTAGAAACAACTGTTTTCCTAGGTTGGTTGGTTGCTAGTTATTCCGAGGTCCCCGGTCACAGACACTGTGATGTCAGGTGATTCCTTGAGCATCTCCCGGTAACACTTATCCTAGAATACTCCCAGGTCTTATGGACCAATTCTAAGAATATCCCCATTTTAAACCCAGTATTTAGAGCATCCCTTCTATTTACGGAAAAAATTGAAGAATTACGCGAAAACTACTCTTTTTTTCAAAACATTGGAACATGACTTTTTAAGTCATGTTTTTTTACCACAGACTTTGAATCAAAAATATCTTATTTTCAATTTTGAAATGTTAACTTTTTGCTATTTTCGAAAAACCGGAGAGATAGTTGAAGATGGGACGAGCACAATATTTTACGGCCCCTTATTACATGTGAGGGGAAAATTAAAAAAAAAAAAAACTGAAGCAGTTTTTGATAGAAAAAAATTGGTAATTCTTTTTGTTGCCTATATTTCGCGCCAAATTACATGAAAGCTACTCACATTTTCGATAATCTTCAAATGAACTAATTTCAAGATTTGTCTTCAAGGAACAGATTTCATTAAGTAAACTAGTGGTGCAACAGAATAGCATAGGCTCGTACTAGTCAGTTTTCTAATATCTTTGGTCTGGACTAGATTTACGATGTGGCCCCCTCCTCTTGCCACCTGCCATCTTTCGTACGAGTACATTTTTTTTCTCTATTTTTCGGTTTCCTAATAGTAGAACTGAAGTGTTACTTCAAGAATGTTGTAGAAGAGGTGAACATCGTGTTACAGATGTTTGATGTACTTTCTTGACAGAAATATTTTGAGTTCTTGAGAAGCTATTGGAAATCGTTTGAAGCTCTTGCGCTCGCAAATGTGTGTGTGTGTCTATATAATTCATTATAGTAGGAAGACGGCGAAAAAATCAAAACTTTTGGTATTTTTGAAAATTTAGAGTTGACAATCGAAAATGGACCTATGCCATCTTTATAAGTGCTCTATGCTTCCCAAAATTTGAAAGAAAATATTAGAAGCCATTTTTGAGAAATTTTTGAAAATGTTCCTAGGGCTTGATGTAAAGTATTCCCAAATTTTAAAGAATGTTTTTCAAAATTGTAAAGCTTCGATTCGAGCCAGATCGATCAGGGAATATCCATTTTGGAAAAAAATCCTACGTATAGTTTAGGCGCTAGTGGTGTTCCCAGACGACAGGCAAACAGAATAACGGACGGACGTTTTGAAAAAAATACTTTTTCGGTACCAAGGGTATTTCCGTTGAAATCTCGAAATCTATTTTCCGCAGCATTACGTAACTTACTCTACACTACTATAAGTTTACGTACGTATATATATATATATATTATATATAATATATATAATATATATATATTATAATATATATATATATAATATTATATAATATATATATTATATATATATATATTATTATATATATACTTACTATTGTGTTGTTTTGAGATCATCAAAATACCATCCTTTTTTTAATTATTAAGCTGCGGGGTTTTGCCAATTTTTTTCTTCAAAGAAGAACGCAATATTTTAGCTTTCTTATTCATTTTCAATTTTTTTTAGTGCCTATAAATGCAATAACCCATCTACATTTTATTAAATATTTGTTTTATCGTTTTTATTCTGCAGTTTACAGAAAAATCGAACAATTTTCGATAAATCTATGTTTTGTTTTACTGCCACCGTATTTCCGTCAAGTATTTCGTATTATAAAACACATGCAAAATCGCTAGTGCAAATATATTTTTTAGTTTAAAGTATTAAATAGTTGTTTACTCAAAAACGGCTCGAAATATTTTCGTAACATTTTCGCCTCGTATATATCAAAGAACGGTATACAAATTTGGAGCCGGTTCCATTTTTGGCGAACACTATGTTTTGGTCGAATGTGCCATACTACAGATTATCAAAAACCATGCAGGCTAAACTCAGGTCATGATGTTATACGTTTTTGTTTCGTTTTGATGATCATCCAAAACTATTTTTACGAAGTAGAGAGAAAGTTATGTAATGCTGTGCGAAAAACGGCGATTTTCGACAGAAAACTCTTATTACAGGACCATGGTAACGGAAAAGCGGATAAATCCAGTTGCTAATTTTATAAAAATCCTCTAACACGTGGTGTAGCCAGAATCCTTGTTTTGTGGGTCTTTGAAACAGAAAAATCGAATGATGGCAAAACGTCTGTCTGTGAACAACGCTACTGACTAAACCGTTCAGACGATTTTCTGCAAAATTGATATTCCCCAATCGAATTCGCTGATGTCACGACCCCAGAAATTTGAAACCGATATTTTAATTTTGGGGTCCTTGATATAAATCCCCTGGAACATTTTTCAATTCTTTTAAAAAAAAGGCCCCATCGGTGTTTATGTTTTTGTTACATATTGAAGGACGTTTAAAAGAATGGTGCAGTTTTCATGTTCGTTGAAAACCCTGATTTTTGGAAAATTGCCAAAGTTAAAATTGTTTAAGGAGTCTTCCTCCAACTAAAATATTAAAGGAAGAATTTTTCCCGTTAATGAAATTTGTTCCTTAAAGATAGATTTTGAAATAAGTTCATGTGCAAGCTTTCGAAAATGTGAGTACTTGATGCGTAATTTTGCGTGAAAATACGGGCGAGAAAGTACGTTTTTAGCACCACTTTTTAATTAAGCTCCATGAGCATTTAAAATTAATAGGTACTGAAAAATGTGGGGGTGGTGGATTTCCCCCAGTCTTCTCCCTGTGGATTCGCGCGTGGCTTGGAAAAGGAAGAGGGAGACATACCGGTTCGATTTGTCATCTCACACGTGGCGGTAGGTGAGTTAAATATTTAAAGGCGTCAAAAGCAATAGTAAGCGGGCGGGGGTCTCCCTCTCCAATATTTCTCGATTGATTAGCGGACACAGTTATTAAAATTGTTTAAGAACATTCACCTTAAAATCAAATATAAAATATAATTATATAAATAAAAATTAAAATATTTAAATTACTATCGGCTAATCATAAATGTGTGAAAACTTAAAACCACTAATAAAGAAAGAAGGATACGAAACATTCTCCATTCCAAGAAACTGATTATAAATGTTTCTCGAACGCGGCACCCATGTGTGACAACGCGCAATAAGCGCAAGGCGCGCTGCCGCTCCGAGATCGGGCTGAGGTCAGTGTCACATCCGTTGCCACCCACGTCCAGCATATATTCCTGTCGATGTATGCAACAACTGATAAGTGAATTTGGGTGGTTGAGTGACTGCTTTTGCGCGATCAAGGGGCACAATGTCTAATATGCAACTGACTGTTGCGACCTGATCGGAAAATTTGTTAAGAAAATTAATATTTATAATATTAATGAATGAAATATGTTCCTTAAAGATAGATACATATCTACTAAATAAAGAATTTGTCAAACTGATGTCCCAAGAACGTCTGAACCAACATAATAAAACAATTGAAATTAGTAATGATGTGGAAGAAGAGTGGAGGAATTTGAAAACTATAGTTGAAGTAACAGCATATGAAACACTAGGCTCTACTTCAAAGAGAACGAAGAAGAAAGGGCTTAAAATATGGAATGTAGAAATCGAAGAAGCTGTTAACGAGAAAAAGAAACTATATTTGAGATATTTATCTAATAAATCCTCACAAACTAAGAAGGAATACACCACAATTTCCAACCACGTCAGGTACCTAACAAGAAAAGACCAACAGGATTCAGGGGATAAATATATAGCTGATATCTAAAATGACATACATGGACGGCAGAAAACGGCATATTAAAATTATGAGACACCTTAACAAACAAGAGAAGGACACAGCAGATATACAAATAATTACACCAGATGAAC